GTCATGCTCCTATTTATCTCCAGAAACCTTTCTTGACTATTAAAGAGCCGAGCAAAAAGAAACGGAAAGATGTGTCTTGTTTGGAATAAGGAATACCTTCTCCCAGGCTTGCCTCTAAGGAGATTCCCCCTGTTCCTACCATTGTCATCCACTTTCTTTTTCATCAAAACCCAGCTTGCAATGGACTCTGGGTCACTCAGTCAACTTCAAGAGATGAAGCTTGGAAGTTAAGAGTAGAAACACCCCTCTCACTAAATCGTGAGGCAACCTCACAGAGTCCCCATGAGACAGCATAGCCTGCCAAAAGGAAGCAGGATCAAAAAAGTAACTAGACAGCAGGCAAGTGACAGGTGACATACAAAATGTAAACCTTAGCCCTGCTTTTGTGCTTTTCCAGTCTATTGCTGTGAAATGCTGCATCAATTACTGTTAACACTTAAGCACAGAAGGGCTCAGAATCATTTTAATGAGTTGACTGGCTCTAAGAGGCCAATCTAAGTTTATTTTTACTAGTATTTTTAAAAGATACTTACGTCGGGGAGGGGGACCACTTTTAATATGCTTCGAACTGCAGAAAGCAGACAGCTGGTGACAAAGAGCCATAATGGAGGAGAACAAACTGAACACACCACTGTTTTTAGCAGGAGGGATCTTGTACATCACCTAAATCAACTCCCTGCTTGACACAGCAGTAAACTGAGGCCAGAGTTAAAGACTTGCAAGGAGGGAAAAAAGGCTGTGCACTAGGTTGCCTTTCCACCTGCCCCCTCCTAACTCCAGGTGCAGTGACCAGGTAGGAATTAACAATAATTCGGCCTGAGTCTTAACCTGCTGGGGTTCCAGAAAATAAATCATTTTTCCAAAAGACACCTGGTCTCTTTGCTGTGTCATCTCCTGGTTCCTACAGATAATCTCCCTCCATAGAGAGCAAACAGGGCCAGAGTCCCCAGGATGTCAGGCCCCTGTGTGGAGCTTCCGAGGCAGTTTCCTGCTGCTGTCTCGCTTCTTCTGGGAGGTTGGGGACACCACACAGGCAAGGGCACCTGAGTTTCCCACTTGCTTTCACAGGCCAAGGCATGGGGGAGTCTTCGGAGCCTCAGCCCCTCCACATCCACCCAGTTGCTCTGAGCAGCAGTGTTTACTACTGCACATGACACCTCCGAGGGGCAGGTCATCACCCACTGTCACTGGACACCCCACCGCATCAGGATGGCTGTGCCTCTGTGCCAAGGAAAGGAGAGCCCGACAGCCCCAGAAGAAGGGCAGGGCGGACTCTCAGCCTGAACAGATTCATACAGCAGATTTGATTGGTCCTTCCTCTCCCCAAGAGGAGGTGCCGTGGCTCACCAAGGGCAGTGCTGAGGGTCTTTGGGAGATGAGTGATGGTGGCTCCCTCTAGTGGACCATCATCAGAAACTGAGCGGCTCTGAGTCTTGGACGGAGATGGCCGGGAGGTATCTGCTGGACAGCACAGCAGTACGGGCAGTTTTTAGAGGAAGTAGATTGTTTTTCTTCTCATCACATCCAGCATGGGGAGGGCTTGGCTACAGACGATCACTCTTGATCTCTCACTGTAGGCCTCCTGGTCAGCAGCAGGCCAGCAGCCAAAGGACATAGCCAGATGAAGCCCCCACCACCTGCAAGCAACGCACTTCTCTTCTCTGGGCCTGCTTTCCTCCATTTGTTAGGGGCATGGTGCGCAGCTAGCCTCTGCCTCTGAAATGCTCTGAAACACTATGATCTAGCATGAATTCACCAAGAGGAAGCCTGTGGCATTGTTCATAACCTCCTGTACTCGGATGGGCCTGACAGTTACCAAGCACTTTCATGAGCATTGCGGCACTTTGCTCTACCACGTGAACATCTGATGCCCCTTATCTAATCTCTCCCACTCTGCCCCAACAACCAGGGTGGCTTTGTATTCTGAGATTGAGCTGCAAGAGCAAGATCGTCCTCTGTGGCCCACAGAGCCAAAGATTCCAGGCCAAGGGTTCAGTCTGGGCTGTTGTCTTGGCCGTGGAGCTCCATGGAAATGAGGCTGAGGAATTCCACTCTTCCTTAGCATTAACAGAAAGTCTGTGAATCGTGCCAGGGTAGTAATGATAACAACAACAACGATCAGCACTTACACATGCTTCCTGCTGACTGGGCACAGTAAGTGCTCTGCCTACATTATCTCGTTTGATCATTACAACAGCCCTGTGTCATAGGTCACCCATAAACCTGCCATCCTTGCCTGCATACCAGAATCATTTTACTAAGAGCCAGAATCACCTGGGTATTATAAATGCCTGCCACAGAGTATACGTGCTTCCCAAGAACTGAATCAACACGGATGTCCCTAGGCAAGAGGAGAGGGCTTCCGTTTCTCATCATGTACCTGGCAATCAGTCTGTCCTTGGCTATCCATGTGATAGAGTTACAAATCTCAGAATTACTGAGTGGGAAGAGACACTGGAGATCACGTGGTCCAATCCCCCGTTTCCAGGGTGACTAGGGAATAAAGACATGGCATGCACATCTCCCAGGCCCCCAGTTGCTCAGGCGGAAGCTCTCTCCACTGCAGCGTGCTGTGGCTGCCACACACTTGAGCGGATGAACAGCACCGACGGCTCCCCCCGCCACAGCCCAGGAAGCTCCCTGGTTGTCCACCAGCCCATCTAAGCTCAGGAAGCAGAAGCCTTCTGATACCAACCTATGGCATCCAAGCGTGTCCTGGGGAAGTGGTTCGCTGCTACCCCACCCTGAAAACAAAGACAGCAGTCGCCGTGGAATGGTGCATCCCAAAGACAGGCAGAGGGCACAGAACAGGGACAGTGTGAGGGTAGCCGCAGCCTCTGCCCTCCTGCGACGAGCTCTGATGGAGGTGTTCTCACGGATTTTCCTTCCTTTCCCCAGAATGATCTGGGGTTCTCCTGCTGGCTCACTCGTCACCCCACCTTCTTCTTCCCTTCCATCTCTGTCCCGGATATCTTGGTCTCCGGCTTCCCATCGTGGCATGGCTTCCACTGGACATTACGATATCCCACCTTTCACTTCCCGGCTGGAGTCAGGGCCAGTCACGGCCCTGCTTTCCCAGGAGGGGGACAGAAAGAGAACCTTCCAGACGATCTCCCTTTACTGCTCTGTGGCCATACCCTTGGGGGGCAGTGTCCTGGTCCGAGGCTACTTTGCTATCGTGTCCTGTCACTTGGCTGAGAAGCAGACTTGCTCTGCTCTGGTTTGTGGGGACAGTGAGGAACCGAGGACGGCGGCGGTGAGCAGAATCAGGGGGTGGCAGTGCGGAGAAGAGTGAGAGACTGAGAGTGAGTCACGAAAACCCAGATGCCCCCCATCCTAGACGGGGCAGGGCGACAGCAGCGGCCCTGTCCCTCTGGCTTCCTCGAGGGCCTCCACCAACCCGCTCTGAAGCGTGGGCGGCGTCGGGCACCGCAGAGCCTGCTGCCTGGCCGAGGGTCACCCCCCAGGCCAGCCTCTGGGAGGGATCATCCGGCCCCCAGCAGCAGTCAAGGAGGGTCTGGCGCGGGGCCCTTTCCTTTGCAGGGCACTCGCAGCCACAGCCTAGGGTCGTGCTCCCTCGCTCTTCCTCTCACACTCACGCCCAGCACCTGCTGTGGCTGTGCCCTTCCCGGTGACCGCGATCTGTCCACCTCTCACCACCTCCACCGTGACAGCCTGCCCCAAGCCACCATCAGCTCTCTCCTGCATTACTCCAACAGCCTCCTAACTGGTAGTTCCGTTGTGCTTTAAGTCCAGTCATATGAGCCTCTGCTCCATACCCTGGAGGAGCGGCTTCCCCTCCTGCTCAGAGGACGGAGGACGGTACAAGCTGTAAGGCCCAGGCAGGCCTGCCCCATGCTACCCGCTCAGGCGTCTCGGGCCTCCTCCTCCCGCTCGCTCGCTGTGCCCCAGCCACAGGGCCTCCTGGCTGTTCCTAGAACTGGCCAGCGACGCTCCCCGCTGAGACCTTTGCCCTTGCTATTGTTTCCTCTGAGCAGAATGCTTCCCCCAGATAGCCGCGTGGCTCACCTTTGACCTCCCTCTGCTCCTTACTCAAATATTACGACCGGCCTTCCCGTCTCCCCTGTTATAAGCTGATCTCCGCCTCCCGCATACGTTCTGGCTGTATTCCCTAGCCGCCTTCTTGATTTTTTTTGTATGTGTTTTAACTGTACGTATTAACAAGAGCCAACACTTCAACCATTCATTCCTTCACTCATTCATTCCTTCGCCAGATATTTCATGAGTGACAATTCTGTATCAGGTGTTCTGCTAGACATTAGGTGGACACCTGGCTAAGAACGTGGCCCTGCTGCTGAGGCTTCTGCAGTATAGAAATGAAGCCCCGGCACTCCCCTGGGAGGGCTGAGGCATTAAAACAAACTGTAACCCCAGCAACCCTAATTAGGAAAGTAAAGTCAGTGCAAGAAAATCATCTTAATGTGCCTTGTTACGAAGAGGAAAAGATACTCGGATGGGTGGCTACTAGTGGGGATGTGCCCCTGCAGAGATCCTGGAAGAGTACAGGATTGATCGTTGAGGGACTTCCCAGAAGTAACGTTACTCTCCTTCTGCTGAGGACAATCCAAGAGTGAACAGCTGTCAGGAGTAGTGTGAATTGCTAGAAAGAACGTCTACTGCCCCCGGGAGACCCTGCTCACAGCATCACCTGAACCCTGGAAGGTACCAGTGAACAGTGTCTCTGACCTTGCCATATGCCCAGCCGTGTATATATAAGAGGCAGATAACTCTTAGACCACGAGCTGCACGTCCTGCCTTCTCGGAGAGCGTCACTGCTGCAGGTCGGGTCACTGCAGAGGGTACTCAAGCATTTTTCTCATGATCTGTGGGTGGCTGGCACATCCTTACGTGCAGTAACGATCCCTGGGAAGCTGCAGGTGCTCTGGCATCTTGGATGTCTGCCTGCTTTTGTCAAGACCACTTGACTCATCTGACCAATGTCACTGTGCATGTTTTCACACAGCGTAACACACAGCCTCTGAGACTTTGCCATGTATTTATTTGTTATTCTTCCATAGCTGCCCTCTTCCTGGGTGGGTCTGAAGCACAGCCATGCACTTTCTGAAATCCCTGACTTCCCCAGACCTTGTCTCTTCTGCCCACACCACCAGCCTTCACCCTCCCCTGCAGCCACACCCCGACGTGTGGGTCCCCCTCCCGAACGCTAGTGGGTCCAGTCTCAGCTTTCTCCAGCCTGGTTGCTGCTTGTGGGAGGCCACCAGAGGGTGTCAGGCTGTCTGACCCAAGGAGGGGTGTGGTATTCTGCAGAAGTTGAGGGTCCAGGTCCTTTCTGTCCAGCTGCCATCAGAAATATATGTGTAGCTCTCCTTGCTTGGACCACCATGCCAGCATTTCCCCTGCCAGGGAGAATCAGAACAAGCGAAAGTGTAGTTAGCAATGTGAGGGACAGATGCATGAGGTTGGCAGCTCCTCTGGTATCTGCACAGTAATCCCCTTCCAGGCCCCTCGTCTTGGGCTCTCTGGTCAACTCAAACCCTATCTCTCACCACCCACTTGGACCTGGCAACTCATAAGCAACTGAAGCCATTTCTGTCTAAATAAATATACTTCTATCCCCAATTCTTCACCTTTAATGGCCTCTTATGCCCCCAGAATCAAGCCCAAGTAATTTGCTTGATGTTCGGGCCCCATAAATGCAACTTACACAATCTATCCAGCTGGTCTCCCTGCCTCCAGACTTCATAAAGTGCAGATTCATGCAATCTATCCAGTTCGTGTCCCTGCCTCCAGGCCCAATAAAGTGCAGATTCATGCAGTCTATCCAGTTCGTGTCCCTGCCTCCAGGCCCCATAAAGTGTAGCCTCGTACAATCTATCCAGTTAATCTCCCTGCCTCCAGGCCCCATGAAGTGCAGCCTCATGCAGTCTATCCAACTGGTCCACCTGTGCTCTGACACCCCCACCATCGATCCTCAGCATACATCAATGTCAGGCATGTTCCTCCACCCCTGAAGGAGTTCTTGCCACAGCCTGGCTCCTCTCTTATCCACCCGCCAGAATGTTCTCATCCTCCCTCCCACATCCTTAAGTGCTACCATACCTCCAGGCCCAGCTGATCCCCAACACCCTCAAAGCCTCTCTGGCCACCCCAAGCATGATGGATCTCCCTCTCTTCTCTGATTCCCTGCTGTCTTTATGGTCTGTCCTGCAGGAAATGTAGGTAGTTGTTTTTCTATTGCAAAGTATGTGAAATGTGCATCCCAAAGCCCTGTGTTCAATGTCTGCCTCTGCCACACCCTAAACAAAGATAGTTAAACTCCTCCCATATCATCCCTAATGCCATGTGTGTGTCTATGTGAGTACCATGAAGCACTTCCAAGAGCAAGCCAGAGCATGGCTAAACACAAACCAGCCAACCATCACTTGCCACATCTGTTCCTGCACATGTGAAACAGGAATGATGATACAAGGTGTGCTCCAAGCTTCATAGGGAGACCGCAACAGCCAGGTGCCTGTGAAACTGCTTTGGAAAAGGTAAAGACTTACAAAAACTGATATTATTACTGTGCCTATGCAGTAGACACCCATCAAATGAAAAGATTTAATATTTGTAATTTCAGTTATTTGGTAGCAAGCCCAAAGTTCCATAGCATAAAGTAACTGGTACTCTTATTAAAATGCAAATTTAACTCAAAAGCACACACTGCAAGCCTGGTGTTCCGGGGGCAGCAGTTTGCTCGTGACTAAGTGCTGCTGACCACGTGCATGAGATTCACGAGGACATCACCCAGGTGCTTTCTACTGACTTGGTCAGTACGCAGTAACTCCTACAAAGCAAAAACCTTTGTTTCCTTGCAAAATTCCAGTGGTCATCAAGTGAAAGAGAACACTTTAGCAAATGGTAAAAATACATATTTTTTGTTGTTTCAAAGGGAAATGAACAGAAAGCTCATTAATCTTCACATACACCCATGACTAAGGAGCCTGTATAAGCACTTCTGCGTTCACAAATGTGGAGTTATGGCAGGTGCTTGGACACGATTTCCAAATGCTAAGGGTCTACATTAGACTCAGTCCTCACAAGGTGAATGTCAATTATCCATCATGAGCTTTAACCCCGGGTCACCCTCCTCGGGGAACATGTTCACGTGTTCTCAGAGAATTCAGCATCGTTTTTACATGAGCCCAAAGTAAACATCACTGGAGGAATCCATCTGACCTACAGTTAAAAATGGCAGAGTAAAAAAATGGGGTTTTTTGATTCCCTCCTGGAATCCTACTAAAATAAAAGTAAGGGAAATTTTAAAGAGAGAAAGAGGACGTAAAGTTACAAAGACAAATAGGGTAATCATTAAAAGCCAATTGGTAAATAACAGAAAGCCACTGGAGGAATAGCTTTTGACTTAGGAGAGGGCAAGGTTTAAAACGCGAGTGTCTGCAGAAGCCAGTGAGATACAAGTTGGTTGATACAAGGCTCAGGAGCTAGAGGTATCAGGTACAATAGAAGTGGCACTGAAGGGCAAGGCTAAAAATTGGTTGCATTTAGACATACCCTTCCAGATCTCCTCTGCAATCTCACAAAGCCAAGTACCTGCTCACCTACCACCCTGTCAAAAGATGGAAAGCTTATTCTGGAGAAACAGTACCATGAAGGCCTGGACTCAAGGACAGCTGGCACTGTGTAAGGCAGGGGGGAGGCACTGTGCTGAAAATAGGGGTGGAAGTACGATGTGAGAGTGAGACAGTCTGCCACCTCCCCTTCTCTGCTTCCAGGACTAGATCAGGCAGGCAACTGGAGAATTCTTTCCTTGAGAAACCAAAGGATTCCAAAAGAAGAGGACTGGTGACGTTGACATCTGGAGGTCCTCAGTGAGAAGAAGGTCTGGTCCCACCTTCATCCCTCTGCAGTGAACTCGCCAGTGAATGAGCCCCACAGACACGGAGCTTGCAATCAGCCAGTAAGTACTTTACTCTTGGACGTGAACAGATATCCTCAAATGCACATCTGGGGAAAGCCTCCAACAGGTCAAAACAGAAGAGAGCAACTCAAGAGGAAACAAAGTTTAAAAAGCAGAAATAAAAAAGTATTTGAATATATTAAAAATCCTCAGATGAATAAGAGGGAATATTTTATACAAGAAACAAGAACAGGCTGCTATAAAAAAAAAAAAAAGAAAACATCCAACAAAAAGAAAAAAATTCTTGGAAATTAAAAATATGGCAGCCAAAATTTAAAAATTAACAGAAGAGCTAAAAGATAAAGTTGAGAAAGTCTCCCAGACAATAGGATGAAACTATAATGCAAAAAGGTAGAGAAAAGATAAGGAAATTTGAGAACCAGCCCAGGAGATCCAAAGTCTGATTTACAGAGTTCTAGAAAAAGAGTAGAAGACACAATGTGGGAGAAAAGGAAAGTAAATTTCCAGGACACCGGCTGTGCTGGGGTAGAGAGAAAGCAGGCAAGATGGAGCGGAACGGGGGGAATGCGAGGCTCAGAGTGGCAAACTCCATGGGAGAAAAGGAACCAACAGAGGGAGCCCGATGCTTTCCCCACGTGCAAAACGGTGTTTTGAGGGGTTTTCCGACTCTGTTGGAGAGTTTGCAAAGAGTTACATTGAGAAACACAGAAAATCAAGCAGGTGAAGAAAATGGGGCAATTATTAACAAAATGTTTACAAGAGATTAAATGAACATTATCATAATATACTGCTTGGCAATGCAGAAAATAATATTTGGTAGTGATAATGACAGAAGCACGTAGCACTGATTTAACTAAAAAATTACGTGGGAGGCAGAGAAAGTTGCAGAGAGCACATGGTTTTACATGCAAAGGCAAGAGGTCATGCCCCATCACAGGGTCAATGTCAAGGTCCGTGCGGTAGCTGACAAGGCCCTGTGCAATCTGCATCACCCCACCGTCCCATTCTGACCTCACCCCTGATCGCTCTCCCCTCTCTTGCCTTGCTCCAGCAATAGAGGCCCCTTGGACGTTCTGTCCCAAAGTTGCACCATGTCCTCCCAGCTCAGGGCCCTTGCACGCGCTGTTCCCTGTGTTGAGAATGCCCCTCCCCCACATATCCATGGGCCTCCCTCCTCCCACGCTTCAGGTCTTTGCCCAGATGCCATCTTCTCGGAGGGTCAGCCCTTCTCCCTTCCCTTACTCAACGCTGCGTTTCTTCCTGACATGGCCGGCCACCCCCAGCGCTGCTTCCTTTGCTCCACGTTATTGACAACCACTTCTGTGTAGAGGACCACCTCCACATGATGAGATGGTTACAGTGATATTCAGTCTAAGTGCTTTATTATTCCCGCCATTGGAATGAAAGCTCCATGAGGACGGGGAATTCTGTCCACTGCACATATCCATGATCTGTTCACTAATGTACCCATGTTTAGAACAGAATGACCGACACATAGTTGGTGTTTTATAAATACTTGTTACATGAAAAAACAAATCAAGAAATAGTAACACATGCAATGATTGAGAAAAACAAAGGTAAATACCAGAAAACAAACTGTTAAAATAATTGAAAGTGGTCATTCTGAGGACTTGGACCCACAGTTAGGAGAAGGGAGGTAAGGGCCTGCTGGTTTTCCTTACAAGCTTCATAGTTGTTGTTTGGCTTTTCAAACTATGTGCACGTATTACTTTAATAAAAATTAAAATTATTTTTAAAATATGCTCACTGTTTTTGCCCCCCACCCAAATCATATTTCATTTCAATACCAAAATGAGTGACTGCTGCCCCTTTGTGTCCTTCCCACCACCTCCAATCCATGCCAAGTCCTGAAGCTTTCACCTCCCCTATCTCACCTGGACACTGGCAAAAATTTGTAGCTGGTCCCCCTGCATCCATTCAGCCCCTCCAATCCATAGCACTGTGGCCTGATGATATTTTCTGACACAAATCTGATCCTCTCATCCCACCCAGGGCTGCCTGTTGTTCCTAAGCAGAAGGTGAGGTCTCAGCCTGCAGACCCAGCTCCGTGCTGGCCCTTGCCCACACTCACCGTGTTTCCCCAGCTCAGGGGCTTTGCACATGCTGTTCCCTCTTCCTGGAATGTGGTTTCTACCTCCCTTGACTGTTTACCTCCTGTCATCCTTCAAATATCACCTAAAATATTATTAAGTCAAGTTCCCCTATTTTAGGCTCATCACAGCAGTTTTGTGACTATCAGGCCTTTGAAACACTTGTCACCATTGCCATTTTATACCTGAGCTTATTGGATTAACATCTGCCTCCAGTCCCCACCATCAACACTAACACACACACACATCCACCCACACACAAACTGTCAGCTGCATAAAATGAGGAAATCATGTATTTCATTTATCATTATATCCCCAGTGCCTAATACATGGTAGGAGCTTAACAACTATAAGTTGAATAACTCTT